TTAGAAATAGAGATGTTAAGGATTATGTAGGTAGGAATAAAGAGAAATAGGACCCTGTAAAAGGTGATTTCTTGTTATCTACATGCACATCCTCACAGTGTCTCAGTTATAGAAGGTTACACCTTCCTAGGTCCAGGGGATTCACACTTGGGTAATTTTGGCCTCATTACTCACCTGTTTACATCAGTGATCACACAAGCTGCATAATTCACTGGGCTCCCAGTAGAAAATATGTCAACACTTACAGAGACGAGCGGACATCCCTCACTGGAGGAGCCATTGTGATGGTGTTTCTTTATAAGGAGCCATAATTTCAATGGACCCAGACCCCTGTCTCAGTCCATCATCATCATCATCATAACCATCATCATCATCACCATCATAATTTTCATCATCACATCATTTTCTTACTTATAATCATTCTTCTCATTTTCTGTAGCTTAGTTTTGTACACACATAAGGATGCTTTATCTCAATTTTTGCTTTTTTATAGTTGTAAGCAAAATGGGTAGCCATACTCTATTTTATTTTTTGTTTGAGTTCTGACAACTGATGGTTCATTGCTGCCTCTTCTCCATCAGCTCCTGACATGGGAATTGAGTTAAGAAATCATAGTTTTCTCTTTAGATGTCATTTTGAGATTGAAACCACCCACTGGAAATAGAATTCCTCACCATCCCCAACCGCCTGGACAAAATAAAGCCCTGAGCCAGTCTCCTTTCATGGCTTCATTACACCAGCTCTGACTGAAGGGCCTTTCCTCTGCTGCCCAGAGATTTCAACCATGTGCATAATAAACATCCCATGTCCCTTAATGTTTGTGTTCATCATCAGCCTAGACATCTGCACCAAGCTACGTGGCTCCCTCTGCCTCTTCCTGGTGTCACCTACTCTTGGTGCTATGAGCATGATGGCAAGTCAATGACTGTCATCACTGGGGTCTTTCTTCTCAGCTTTGGGTTCAAATAACTGTGTTGGAAACAGCTAGAAATAAAGATGTTTTTCAATTTAAGGTGAGCATTCGGGTGAGCTGCACTGTTAAGTCAGCGGAACCTCTTCTTAGATTCAGGGCATTTGGGTCAGAAAAGTAGATGATTGTCATTTGGGCACAAGAGTATTTGAAAGAGATTCTGTGCCTTTTGTCCACGTGAGAAAGTTGTGTCTCTTTACAACAGACTTTTCTAACTCAAGGGCTTCCGAGCTAAGTGCAGAATCAGGAATCCAGAGGTTCCCTGAGGGAAACTGTGACATGAAGAGGAAACCACACAGGAAACCAGCCCAAACATCCAACTGCACCTGCTGTTGGGATGGTCCTTGTTTTCAGGGACCCTGATCGCCCCCTACTGGTCACAGCCCATCCTGCAGGGAGGTTTGTGTCTGGGCTCACACTGACTTCCCTTCACTGTGGGCGGTGTCCTCAGACTTGAGGCCATTGATCTAAAGATAGGCCGTGCTGACAGAGGTGTCCATGGAGAAGACAAATATTTCGAGAAGCCCTGGGAATATGTGGGTTTCCCAGTGTCTGTGTTGATAAAGCCCATATACTGCAGGCCTTTTCGCAGGGCCTGTCTCACCCAGCGCATAGAGTAGCTGGTGAAGGTGTATCCAGAAGCCTTGCAGGAGACCTTCACGGAGGCCCCAGGCTTCCTCACCTCAGCCCCAGACTGCACCAGCTGCACCTGGGAGTGGACACCTGTGGAAATGGGACAGGAGTGGGTGGAAATCCTCTTTTACTCTCCCTGGTCCCCCCCTTAACCCAGACACTGGGGATCCCCTTACCTGTAGCCAAGGCCACCAGGAGGAGGGTTCTCCAACTCCAGTCCATGGTGAGGGCTGTGCTGTGAGCACTTCTGTAGGGGAGGGTGTGGCTGTGGGTGATGCCCTCAGGGCACAGAATTAGTCATATTTAATCCATTCTGCCTCCTCTCTTTTGCATATTCATGAAGAAGAGTATTTCATAGCTGAGGTCTTGACCCCACCTGAGAGAAGATGGATGACACAGGGAACTGGCTCAGTGGGAGTCTGAGGGTCCAAGTCCTAATCTTGGGTGGAGGAGGTGAGTCATCCGCTAGGTTCGTGACCTCTGTGCAGACAGAACTCCTCCCACTGAGAAACCAGCCTCTAGAGGACATGCTCCTCATTGTGGGCCCACCTTTGTGTGACATGGGGCCACGTGGACCAGCTCTGGGCTTTGATACCTGAATGTCTTCTTCCTGGATCAGTGTGTCTCCAAAATGCTGCCCCTAGTGAGGTAATAAACCCATCCCTGTGCCAGCTTCTAACAATGCAGACATTCCGAAGCCATAGAAACACCCCCTTGTGAGTAGTTCTCATGTCTCACTGAGTTTGATAAATGCTCTCATAGAGCAGCATATTCACAGTCACCTCAGCAGTCATGTCCAACTTTCAGTTTGGATGGTTTGTATGAAGAGAAGAAGGCCCAGGATTTAGAGGAAACCCCTGCCCAGCTCCCTCTGCACCTACTCCTGGAGCATCAGCCTGTGTTCCTGGGCCCTGAGCTTCCCCTGTTGTTCAGCCCTGGCTCTGTAGGGGAGGGTCCTGTCTAGGCTCACAGGGCATTGACCTCTTAGGGTTTCTAGTACAGTAGTGAAAATTGTGCCCTGACGTCAGATTGCTCCTTCAGGGACACCATGTGGTTTTGATGTCTCTGGACAGAGTGAACTGGCCTTCCTGAGCCCCAATGACTCTGCAGGGAGACCCAAACTTGGGCTTTAGGAAGCCACTAGGGAGCACTTCCCTGGAGCTCCCAGTTGCAGAGACACAGTTAACTCTCCCCTCATTGGGAAGCTCCCAGGGGCCCTGGGGCCTCTTATGTCCTTAGGTTCCTCTTGTTCAAGGTCTCATTTGAGTATCCCAGCATTGGGCCAAATCTCACAGCACTTTTAGTATTTAATAAATTACACACACACACACACACACACACACACACACACACACACTATGATGATTTTCTTTGCTAGGAAATCCACATTTGACCCTCTTCCCTCTACATAGCACTTGGTCAGGGACCACAAGGGAATTCTAGGCCTGGGTGTGACTTTCTTTGGAAGCTGATAAAATTCACCCACCATACAAACAGACTTTGAAGAGCAGGCTCTTGTGTGTCCATGCTCTTTCAGGTCCTGTACACCCCAATGCAGGTTAGAACAGGTCAGGGAGAGTCAGAGGTGGGGATGGGTCACCTCTTTGTCTGCAGGGGTGCATTGCAGTGTGTCCCCAAAGACCCCCTCATTAAGCTGGGTGTACACCTCAGAACTGGGAGGGGAGGAGGCAGCAGCATTGTCAGCTGTCTGGTGAGACTGCTCTCCCAGGTCACCTGGTGGATGGGGCAACAGTGGGCAGGTGAGTAAGGCCAGCTCTGGGAGGGACCCTGGCTTCCTCAGGATCCTGGTTCCAGGATGAATTAGGAGTCTCTCTATTATTGATGTCCATCCTGATGGTTAACTTCCCCGTGGGCTCCCGCCCGGTTGCCCTCAGTCCCTTGTCTCCCACATGGAGACACTCACTTCTCAGAGACCCACAGCTGCAACATCAGCCCCTGCCAGAGCCTCAATCTCCTCCGGCATCAGTGTCTCTGGTTCACCCTCATGGGTAGTCCTGCCCTGAGTACGCTGTTGCGAGTGAGAATTCAGACTCCACTGGTGGTTACTCAGGCTCCTACCAGGGAGAGTTCAGGGACATCCCCATTTCCTCAGGCCCATGGGTCTGTGCTAGTCCATCAAGCACCTGGCAGGTGTGTGCCACCCCTTCCTGTAAGTCAGTGTCCATTTATCCTCTATGTGGCTCTTGTCCTAATGTGTTGTCACACGTGGGCCCTTCATCAAGCAACATCCTTTCTAAACAATGTTCACAGCAAAGTGATGACTGAAATTAATCTCTGTCACTACAGGAAATGTCCATCAGGACCATTCATGCATGAAGGGGGCTGATGGCAGCTTCAGGCCCCTTGTGTGGGACGTGTCCTGGGTGACTCTGGAGGAATGCACATGTCAAATGAATAGATGAAGTGGGTTGCGTACATTGATGACTAAACTTTTATAGAAGACAGCAAGGGACATAGGAGTGCCTGTCTGAAGTAAGGGGCCTTGTAGGGCAGTGTGTACCAGTCTGAGGACAGAGAGTGTGAGGTTCTTTTTTTAAAGTACTAGAGGCCCGATGCACGAAATTTGTGCAAGAGTAGGCCTTCCTTCCCCCGGATGCCAGCACCAGCTTCCCTCTGGCACCTGGGACCTGGGCTTCCCTCCAGCTGCTGGCAGGCACCCTGGACCCTGGCTTCACTTGCAGCCCCAGCTTCATCTGGAAAGATGTCCAGTCTAATTAGCATATTACACTTTTATTATTATAGATATTTTTATTCATTTCAGAGAGGGAAAGATAGAAACATCAATGGTGAGAGAGAATCATGGATCTGCCGTCTCCAGCATGCTCCCTGCTGGGGAACCAATCCGGTGGTCATGTGCCCTCACCTGAATCAAATCATGACCTCCTGGGTCATAGGAAAATGTTCTAGCACGGAGCCACACCGACTGGGCCAGAGAGTGTGAGCTTAAACCCGAGGGCACTGATGTCAGTGCTGTTTCCCTTTGAAGGAAATGTGTCCCCATCAGGGATGTGAGAATGGTCAGGCTGATCTGCTCATGGAGAAGGTCCTGTAGGGAACTGGTGAAGAGAATCTCTAGTGACTGCTCATCACTCACCTGCAAACACAGTGCTCCTTCTCCTTCCTGGCCCCAGCGACGATGTGAGAACTTAAAGATTCAAAGAATAAGACATGTTTTTCCCTGAGACTAGACAATAACATGTAGAGGCGAGGAAAACACCCATTACAATAGGAAGCCTGCCCCTACCCCTTTGCACTTGCCCAAGAGTAGACATATGATCTGCAGGTCATGAGCTCCACCTGCTGGTTCTCAGTGTCCCTTGCTGGCCCTGAGCGCCCCCTGCAGCCCAGCCCTGCTGTCTCATCAGGCAGGTTTGTGTCAGGGCTCACACTGACTTCCCCTCACTGTGCCTCTTATACAGTAATACATGGCCGTGTCCTCAGATGTCAGCTTGGTCATTTTAAGAGAGACTGTGCTGGTAGGGTTGTCCCTGGAGATCGTGAATCTTCCTTGAACTGCTGGAGCATACCACTGATTCTTTCCAGTTGGTCGACTCACTGTTGCCACCCACTGCAGCCCCTTCCCTGGAGCCTGGCGGACCCAGTTCATGCTGTAGTTAGTGAAGGCGAATCCAGAGGCTTTGCAGGAGAGGCTCAGAGACCCCCCGGGTGGCACCACGCCTCCCCCAGACTCCACCAGCTGAACTTGGCACAGGACACCTGCAAACAGAGACACAGACTGAGATCTGCCCCGTGTCAACCAGTCCCCATGAGCCTGATTCACAGAGATGCACCTTTGGCAGTGAAGAGAAGGGCAGCCCAGATGAGCGCAGACCCCATGGTGTGGACACTGAGAGGCTCACACAGGAGGGCTCCTCTCCAGGTTCTGAAGGGTCCCAGTCTGGCAGGCTTTCATGAGCAGGGGAGGTGCCGCATTTGCATGTCTTTCCCTGAGGACTTTTCTGAGCTGCCAGGGGGCTCCTCCCTCCCTGCAGTCAAATGGGGAGGGCCAGTAGACAAGGGTGCCTGTGCCAGGACTCAGGGGCATGTGCCTGGTCTGAATATTCTAGTAGCTCATCTGTGAATAGTGAGAAACACACTCCGCCAGGACGGAAAGTGGGACTTTGTCAGTCCTCCAGTGCAGGTTGCACATAAAAACCTCAGGAGACATCCGGGAACAGGATTGTGGAGATGACAGTGTCCCCTAGTGGTTATTCTGAGCCTCATGGTCTGAGGACAGGTGTCTGAACCAGCTGCATGAGACAAGGCAGGAATGTCTACCAAGGAGTAGCCTTCCCTGGCATTTCTGAAGGAGTGGCAGCCTCAGTCCTGCTACTTGTATGCAGGTGGTTCTCTGCAAGGACGCCCAGGGCCTCAGGCGACCACCTCCAGAGAGAACCTGAGGAACAGAACCCTCCTCAGCTCAGGCCTCTAGTGCCAGGCCCTCGCTTGCACTAGGAGGTGCTGTTACGAGGCCTGGTGTGCACACTCAGCATCCTGGAGTGTCCACAATGCAACACAGCAGTGCCTGTTTAGCTCAGGGAACATGTTTTATGATATTTGTGGGGGACCCTCTGTGACTGTTGGCAGTGGAGCTGTAGGGAGCGGTGAGCACAGGGAACAGACTCACCATGGACAGAGGACAGTTCCCTGTCCAGGAGCAGAGCCCTTTAAATACAGCTCCTGAGACCCCATGTCAGTGAATTCTAGGATTGTGCCCAAGACCATATGAGTAAGTCATAGTGGAGAGGACAGCAAAGCCCGCCCTCTTCACTCTGGGAGACAAGGAAGTGGGCTCACCTCTGCAGGGGGTGATTTTCATTCATTGCTTTTAGCGTCCCAAAGGTTATTTCCTCCATTTTTTCATGAACAAAGTCTTGAGTGCAAAGTTTTACCACCTGGGTGGTCAATAATCTTGTTGGATGATTAAGTCATAAACTCTAACTCCTGGATGCAGGTCCTTGAAGAGCCCCCAGGAGCAGCTCAAGGAGAACATGCTGGCCCTTTGGTGAGCACCTGGACATGGGGCTGACCTGTATTAGGTCCGCAGAGGGGAGAGCACCTGACATCCAGAGCAGGTGAGGCCATTCTAATTAGGGGTCCCTGGTCCCTTGGTGTTTACAGATGTGCCCGGGTCTGACCTGGCCAGAGCGGGGAGATGTGCCTGGGTGGAGACTGGTATACACTGTTGAGTACAGAGAAGGAAATACAACAGGTGTGCCTATGCTTATGTGGGTTTGTGTGGGTTACTCAGGTGAGCTCTTTCCCAGGAAGGAAAAAGTGAGTCTACTGGGGAAATGAGTTGTGACACTGTGGAAATTAGCAACTATGGAGGGACACTGATCACATTAGAGTGATAGCGGTAGACCCTGTGGGAAAAATCAGACGTGGTCACATAAGAAAATAGAGGTCAACCCTTCTGCTGTGAGCTGCCAAGGCTCTGCCCCCTGCCAAGAGCCTCTGGTGTCACATCCATCTTCTCTCCCCTGGAATCCAGGCTGTGAGCTGAGAGGGAGAAGCATGAGTGGCCATCTCTTTGGAACCATGGCTTCCCTGACACCTGTCAACATCTTGCGGGGTGCCGCTCATGAAGAGAGAGCAGAGACAGCTCGTCTGTCTTCCAGTATTGGCCCATCGCTATGGGAGACTTGGTCTAGAGCACCTTGGGACCCAAAGGCATGGACACAATTCTGGGAAGCAGTGGATGAGATGCCTCTCTTATGGTGACCAACTATCCTCTAAAAAACATCGGTGTTGATAATCCAGCAGCTAAAGTGTTAGTTGATATGTCAAGGGTTCAGGATGATGATGTTGGGGATGGCACTATCTCTGTTCCCATTTTAGCAGCAGATGACTAAGGGAAGCAGAATATTTAATTTCAAAAAAGACTCATCTGGCAGTTGATCATGGTTCTGATGAAGATAAATCCTGCCAAGATTTAGTGAACATTGCAGGAACAACATTATCCTTCAAACTTCTTACTCATCACAAAGATCACTCTACAAAGTTAGCTGTAAAAGCTGTTCTCTGATTGAAGGGCTCTGGTAATCTGGAGGCAATTCATGTCATCAAGAAGCTAGGAGGAAGTCTGGTGGATTCCTATTTAGATAAAGGCTTTCTGTTGGATAAAAAAATGGAGTTAATCAACCAAAAGGAATTTAAAATGCTATAATTCTTATTGCAAATACTGGTATGAACACAGACAAAATAAAGATATTTGGTTCCCCTGTAAGGGTTGATTCTACAGCAAAGTTTGCTAAAATAAAACAAGCGGAAAAGGAAAAAAAATGAAGGAGAAAGTTGAATGTATTCTTAAGCATGGGATAAATTGCTTTATTAACAGGCAATAAATTTCTAATTATCCCGAGCTGCTTTTGGGGGCTGCTGGGGTATGGCTATTGAACATGTAGAATGCCTGGCTCTTGTCACAGGTGGTGAAATTGCCTCTACCTTTGACCTCCCAGAACTAGTGAAGCTTGGAAGTTGAAAGCTCATTGAAGAAGTGATGATTGGAGAAGACACACTCATTCACGTTTCTGTGGTAGCCCTTGGTGAGGCTTACAGTATTGTTCTTCATGGTGCCACTCAGCACATTTTAGATGTAGCATAAAGATCTTTGCATGATGCTCTTTGTGTTCTTGCACATACTGTGAAGGCTTCTAGAACAGTTTATGGAGGAGGCTGTTCTAAGCTTCTGATGACACATTCTATGTCACAGCTGGCAATGAACACCAGGTAAAGAAGCTGTTGCAATGGATTCTTAGGCTCAAGCATTGAGGATGTTGCCTACTGTTAGAGCTGGTAACGCAGGCTGTGACAATGCAGATCAGGTGGCACAGCTCTGAGCTGCCCATCACAAAGGCAATACAACTGCTGGACTGGATATGAAGGAAGGTGCTGTTGGTGATGGAAGTGCTGGGCATCACAGACAGTGTCCAAGTGAAATGGCAGGTTCATCTGAGTGCAGCTAAAGCAGCAGAGGGGATGCTGCATGTGGGTGACATCATCAAAGCAGCACCAAGGAAATGTATCCCTGATCACCACCCTTGTTAAGCTTTCCTATATGTTGTTATGTTCTGGATCAGTTCATAGCAACATTGTTTGAAGGACTTCGACTTCTTTTTTTAAAATTTTTTAAGAGTGTTCCTATACCTATTCTTTTAAAACTGTATTTTATTGATTTTTTTACAGAGAGAAAGGAAGAGGGACAGAGAGTTAGAAACATTGATGAGAGAGAAACATCAATAAGCTGCCTCCTGAACACCCCCTACTGGGGATGTGCCCGCAACCAAGATACATTCCCTTGACCAGATTGGAACCTGGGACCCTTCAGTCCACAGGCTGAAGCTCTATCCACTGAGCCAAACTGGTTAGGGCAGGACTACAACTTCTTTAAAAGACTGTGGAGTCAAAGTTTATCTATGGATCTCATATCCTTAACATTAGACATTTAGCTGATCTTTTACTTTAACATGGGTCTAATTTATTTTCTCTTCATTTTCCATAAAATTCAGTTGTTTTAAAAGTCCATTTCTCATACTGTGCATCAAAATAAAATTTTGAGCAATTAATATAAGAAGATAGAGGTCAAAATAAAACTGAGATGCTTTTGACAGTCATCAATAATGAACACACCAAGGTGAACCAACCCTCACAACTGGAGGAAGAATTAAAAGCCCAGGAGGTTTATGTTCAGGAGATGGGAAGTTCCCTCTGACACTAATTCCCCTACAAAGTGATCAGAGGATAAACTAAGACCAGAGTATGAGCTTGGAGCAGTGGACCACGTGGTGGGGGAGAGAGGAGCATCTGTGCGGGTCCCTGGGAACCAGAATCATGAGCTATAGAGACATAGACAGAGCTCCTGAGTCCTGTTCCTTCAGGGGAGTTTAGTGCTGGATGTGTAGCAGCTGTACTGCCTCCTTTGTGGTATTTATTCTCTAGACTCTGTTGTGGATCCAGTTTCATAAGTTGTGATATAGAAGAACCTCAGTCATAACCTGGTGTGTTTCATGAAGATATCAGTAATGATTTTATATAATAAAAGTCCAGCCACCATAAGCATAACAAACGGAATGACCAGAGACCAGAACTACCACTGCCCCTCGCCGGGCTGGCCTTGCCCCCAAGCTAAGAAAGAGGGAGACCCAGGCCACCAGCAGTGACTCTGTGTCAGGTGTGCAGCCGGCCAGCAATCGCCCAGCAGAGGGAGGCCCAGCCCAGCCAAGCGATTGCACCCCAGCCTGTTGCCTGCAGAGGGAGCCACTGGTGGCAGGGGAGGAAGGGGCAGCACTGCACAGAGGGCAAGCAGTGGCAGTGGCAGGGGTGGGGCCAGCTGCCTGAAGCAGGGGGAAGAAAAACCCCAATAGGCCCTGGTCTCAGGAGCGGCCTAGGGACCCTACCCGAGGGTTCCGTGATTGTGAGAGGGTGCAGGCTGGTCTGAGGGACTGCCCCCCCTCGAGTGCCCGAATTTTCATGCACCGGGCCTCTAGTTTAGAAATAATTAAGTATAGGTCATGAAAATGTTGTGATTTGAAAACTGATATTAATGATAGGAAAAGGGCCTTTCTGTTTCATTCCAGTGGCCATCATAATTTATGAGACTTTCCTCATCATTAAAACCCAAAATTTTTAGCTCCTCTGATTCAAACAGCCCCTCTGTTCAAACTGAGGTACAAGAGGAGCTACTCTCAAGGCTACATTCTTGCATCCCTCTCTGCTGTTTTCAGAACTCAGGGTTCATTCCCACCAATGAGTCTCTGGTTAGTAGAAAGTTCCCGTCACCCGTCCCCTTCAAAAATGCCCCCTTGTAAACCCTCATACCTTGTGCTCTAAGCATGTTACAGGCTTGAGGAAAGTACCGATG